GAGCCACTGGGTGGGTGCCACGAATCAAACCCGGGTCCTACGGAAGAGCAACAAATGCTCTTAACTACTGATCCATCTCTCCAGCCCCTCCTCTTATTTTTAAAGATTTTTTTTTTTTTTTACTTTGTGCACTATATTTATGGCTGGTGCTGGAAGAAGCCAGAAGAGGGTGTTGGATTCACTGGAACTGAAGTTAGAGGCAGGTGTGAGCCACCATGTGGGTGTTCGAAACTGAGTCTGGTCCTCTGCGAGAACAGCCAGGCCTCTTGATGGACGAGCCAACTTCCAGCCCTAGCTTTGCCTTTATTTATTTATTTTTATTTAATAAGCTTGGACTCATTGAAACTTGATGTGTAAACCAGGCAGGTTTTAAACTCTGTTCTTGCCTCCTGAGTGCTGGACTATAGATATAAGCTACTTTGCCCAGATTTAATTTTTTGCTGTTTCTGAGGTAGCAGGTCCAAGTTGCCCAGGTTGGGCTTGAATTCACAATCCTTGAGTGTTGGCCTCCCAATTAGCTGGGATTAGCAGCACTTCCCACTGGGGCTGGGTCAGTATCATTTTTGGAATTTTGTTTGGCAGCTGGGGATGTCCTCCGTGGTCAAGCAATTGCCTAGCATGCACAAAACCCAGGCTTGTCCCCAGCACCACCTACATAAATAATCTTGACTCTGGATAAAAATAAACATCCTTTTTGAGAAAATGAAACAGAATTGTAAAATAATACCACAACATATCCCATCTTCTCCAAGCCCTGCTCCTGGAGATCCTGGTTTCTCTGAGGTGCCTTGTGATCTCTGAAAGAACTGGGAAGTGAGTGCAGGGATGGCTTTATCCCACTGCCTTCACCTCCATCCACAGAGGAGACCACCGCTCCCCATGACAGCCCACGGTGGTTGCGCAGTGCCCCTAACTTCCGGAGGTCTGGAAGTGAAGCATCGGAGGTGGCACTGAGTCCTGTGCTGTCACATGGATCTAATCAATTTTGCCCGCCAGCTATTTGAGTCATCTGGTTTTGATTCAGCCTAATGCCACTTCCTCCTACTCTTTTTCAGGCAAGAACGGGACAGGAAAGACCAAGTCTCTCTAGATCGAGAGTCATGGGAGTGGGAGACAGGCTCTCCCTGGTGGCTTCCAGGAAGGATGCTCCCAGGCTCCCGGCTTTAGCACTCTTGAGGACAGCAGTGGGTCCTCCCTCACCATACCTGGGAAGGTCAGTTAGGAACGTCAGTCTGACCAGCATCCAGCACATCTCCCTCTTCTAGCCTAGCTCCCTCCTCCGTTCCCCTTGCATTCCCCTGGGTTCCCCTTCTGTCCCCTCCACGATAGGAGCCCAGGTGCGCTCGGGGCTCTTGGAAGGACTTACACCAAGCCCAGCTTTCTCAGTCATAGTTATTAACAATGCAGAACATGCCTTCTAATCCTCCAGAGTTTATCTGTAAGGCTGTGTCATCTGTCACTCTTCCTAGACAACCTAAAGCCATGCCTTCCTCCCTTCTCTGTGACTGCTACCACCGGTGCCTTCCTCCCCTGGGCCCCAGTCCTGGAGCAAGCCCAGCACCTTCCATGCAGATACTAGGCAAGAGCTCTGCCACTGATCACACCCCCACCCATCGGGTAGATGGGAAGGCAGGCAGACTGGAACATAGTGGAACGGGCCAGCCCATTCAAAAGAACCAAGGGCAAGGTAGTGTTCTTTTCCTTCGGGCTCCACAATTGCTCTTGTGAAGTAGGAGCCATGCAAAACCGGAGGTTTTTTGAGACTTTACAGCATAGTCCATGGTGGTCTCCACATCCCAATCCTCCCTCTGCCTCCCAAGTATTGAACTTACAGGTGGAGGCCTTCACGCCCAACTTTTCTTCATCTGGCTGCTTCTGCTTCCCAAGGGCCGGGACTAAAAACAAGCACTACCATGCCTGGCTTCCAACTTTTTTTAAATTACCAATTTCTATTTTTATTTTTTTGACTCTTCTACCAGAATGTAAATTCCATGAGAGCAAAAAAGGCATACTTTTTACTGTATCCTCCGCATCCAGTGCATCATGGGTGTTTGAGAATTGGGGGGGGGGGAGGTAAGGGGTTTTCGAGACAGGGTTTCTCTGTGTAGTTTTGGTGCCTGTCCTGGATCTCGCTCTGTAGACCAGGCTGGCCTTGAACTCACAGAGATCTGCCTGACTCGGCCTCCCAAGTGCTGGGATCAAAGGCATGCGCCACCGCCACCCAACAAGAAATTTTCCTAAAGTCAGGCATGTGGTCCACTTCTGCAGTCCTCTCCCTGAAGAGGTGAGCTGAAGAAGGAAAACTGCTCTGAGTTTGATGTCACAGAGGGAGACGATGTCTCAAAACAGCCCCCCAAATAACTTTTGAATATTTTTATTAAATAAATGCAATGACCGTGGACTGAGGTGCGTTCTTGTCCTTAGAATTGTCGGACATGAAAAAGCTAGAAATAGAATGTACTGAAATCAGGGCCAAACTTAGGGGCAGGTTTTCAGGCATCTAAGTCTGTTGGGCTTTTGCCAAGAGCCACATAGAGCCCAGGATAGAACCACCTGGCTCTGGGGCACCAGGTGACTCACTTAGGCCCAGCAGCTACAGGGGCTGACTCATCCTGGAGAGTACTCAGAGGGTACCTCGACCCACTGTCTTTTCCAGCAAGAGAGGGCCTGCTCTGGCCAGCTCTGCTCACTGAGGACTGTGGAGACAGCTGCCCTGTGCCCGGCCTCCAGTCTCCCATACCTCCTGTATCACAAGAGACATTGTGGAGCCTGAAGGGAAAGGACACCTACCTTGCCCTTGGGTCTAGGAGTGGGGTAACCTATGTGCCGGTCAGCTTGCCTTCTTATCTCCAGGATAGGTGGGTCATCTACAAGCTCAGAGAAAGGGACTGCTTGCTTGGCCAGCAAGTAGCTGACCTGCCTTTGTGTTCTGAACTATAAAAGGGAGCAGGCCAGCCGGAGGAGGCCAAGCCAGTGAGAATCCCCTCCTTTGAAGAGAGTCCAAGACGGGGGCTGGCCATCCTGGGAGGAGCAGCTGACCCTAGCCTAGCATTTCTCCCTACAGTGGAGATGACAACTGCCCTTGATTCTCAAAGCTCCTGCAGAACAAGAGACCTTTTCTTTCATCTTCCCCTCCTCAGAGGCACTTCTGCTAGAAGCCAGAAGGCTGGGCTCAGGTTCCAGGGAGTCTTCCCGGCTAAATACCGACCCCACCAAGAGCCCCTTCCCTAGCCTCTGCCCTACCTGCAGGGTTTGCATCTACCTGGCCCGGAAGGCAAGGGCCCTCAGCTTTCCTCTGGCGATCCCCCCGCAGCAGTCAGGCTGCCTTTGCCTCTGTCCACGGTTCTTAATCCACCAGGGAACGAAAATGACTCATTAACATCTCCCAGGCATTCTCAGGGCACCTTGGCGTCTGATCCTTATTCTTGCCCCATTAGGGTAGCCTGTCGAGAATGATCTCCAGTGTAAGTCAGAGGTGAAGTAACTTGCCCAAGGTCACACAGTGGGAGCGTAGCAAAAAGACTCAGTCTTCTGCCTGGCAGTTTGGCAGCTGCTCAAATCTTTGTGGAAAGGGTGAGATATGTTTCTACATCTCTCCAGCCTCTGGGAGCGTCTTTAATGAGGGTGGGAGGGCTGTCCGTCTTCCCAAACGAACATTTCATCTCCTTAGTTCACTCTCACTTTCAAAGTTAGATTTAACTCTAATGTCTCTGTGTTCAAGTAGAGAGATCAGACCGATGCCCCCTCCTCCGAGAGCAAAGAGTACATAGCCTGGTGATCTTTCTTCTCCAAAGACCAATAAATAAACAAAAATATCCCCCCCCCCAAATAAACAGCTCTACTTCTTCGCAAAATGTGCAGCCCCAAGTCCAGCCCGAGGCGCCCCAGCACACAGCACACAGTCCGCAGACACTGCGCCGGTCGGCGGGGAGGGGAGGCCGCGCGGCGGGGAGC